CAGTAGCCTTAACAATAATTCTCAAACTGAATCCTTACTAAAAAAAAGGGGTAGCCTATTTTATGTAGCCGCTGTATATTCAAGTAAAAAAAAAAAAATCAAATGGTTATGACACAGTGATTATCTAAGAATATCAAAAATGGCATTTGAACAAAAACGCCTGTTTAATAAAATGAACTTCTTCACCTCAAAGCTGCTTGTTGACTACATAAGTTTTCTTTTCTGTAGGCTATGTCAGTGTACTTAGAGCTAATTTTCTTAAATATATTTCCGATGAGTACAAAAATGAACTTTGTGAAGGAGTGTCCTATTTCAAATATCCGATCATAATTTTAATAGACTACCTTTAATACAGCCTGTTTGTCCACTGCAGGAACGATGTTGATTTTGGACCAAAAATCATTATCCTCATTGTTGATGTCGCGAGACCTGACTCATAGGACAATAATCTGAGGACCGGAATCACAGACATGTTAAAACATATGGTTCATAAGCCATTCTTAAAAAATACTTAAGTTCTCAAATGGTTTCTTAAGAACCTCTTATTGTCTTTCCTAAGAAGTGTGGTTGGTGTCGTGTGACTGTTTAGCGTTTAGAAAACTCGCTGATCAACTCGATGAAAAGCTCTATTATTTTCAGATGCCTGCATACAAAGATGTTTAAATAGGCCTAGCACACAAACTATTTTGGTCACGACTCGTTTGATGGGTGTTCTTCTGTTTTACTATGCCGTGGACGTAGTTCCTGAGGCGTGAGCTCAGATGTGAAACAAAGACGCCTCGCCCACGGTGTTTAGATTGAAAACGCATCTTTTTCTCTCTGTTTTGGCCTTGCGTTCACACTAAGATGGCGGTTTTAACAACGAATATCTTATGTTTGTGTCCTATGCCTTACAAAGTTGATACTTTTAGACCACTTTTCTTAGTGATTGCTATCAAATCAGCCTTGCAAAAAAAAAAAAAACTTACACTGCCTTTAAAACTGATTGACAACAGAACCGAAAGACTACAATGCTGAATAAAGTTGTAGTTTTTGCTATTTTTGGACCAAAATGTATTTTCGATGTTTCAACACATTGTAACTTATCCATTGATGTCACTTGGTCTACTTTGATGATGGACAAGGACAGTATACCGTACACACATGTTCAATGGAGGGACAGAAAGCTCTCGGACTAAATTTTGATTTAGTCCGAGATTTTGTCCAACCGAAACCCTTCTGCTGGTGATAATTAAGTGAGTTAATGTGGTCAACATGGATGTAATTACTGAAATTAATTAGTCCTACATCTGTAATTACATGTACTATATGCATTTTTTAAATATAAGCACAATGTAAAAACATATATGTACACAATTAGTGCATTGCATCAAATTATTTATTTTAGTACACACTGAAGACACTACTATAAAATGGGTCGGACTAAAATAGGAACACACATTAACAATTGTACTTTTCACATCTTTATTGAATCATTGATCATTCACAGTGAAGAAAGTATGTGAACCCTTGAATTTAGTAACTTGTATACCCCTTCAACAGCAAAACATCCACTGTAAAAAAATAATTATGGGTCTTGTAATAAAAAAATGAAGGTGATAATTAAAAATTTTTGCGTATTTTATTTATAAAATTGTGGTTCAATATTGCGAATATTTCACAAATTAAACCAAGTTTAATTATACAGCCGTTTAATTGTGCAGTATAAACAGGTCATTTCCATTCACTCCTTTTGACTCAACTTTAAATAAAAAACTAAATTTCACTAAAAATAATAAATTCATTGTGTCAAGGACTAAATAATGTAGGAGATTTTACATGATATGATTCCATTAAAGAAATCAAGCCTTAAGAACTACAAAAATACCATGTGTGATATTGTTACCTATTTTTTTTTTTTTTTAACGTAAATAACGTCTCTGATTACTGGTGTAACCTATGTTCTCTGAATAGGGAACGAGACACTGCTTAGCTTAAGACGCAGTGGGAACGCCCTCCCGGTGTGCCGATTGTCTGAAGCCCTTATGAAATCACGCCAATTATTTTATATTTGCGCATTATATCTGGGCATGAATTGCCTGAGGGCAGCTGACTGGGATTTTGCGGCCCGAAATTTTTCAACCACAGTGTTGACTGTCTCCCCAAACAGACCAGATTGAGACACTGGGGCGTCTAAATGGAAAACCTTCTCTTTATCATGGATTTCCGTGAGATTGAGCTATAGGTGGCGCTCTGGAGCAATCGTCCCCACCATAGAACGCCCTATAGCACGTGCAGTATTCTTGGTGGCCCTTAAGGCCAGATCTGTGGCCTTGCGAAGCTCCTTGACAGCTTCCGCTGTGATCCCTCCCCGCTTCCTCATCCATTTTTTTTAAAACATCTGCCTGGTCAACCCGGTCTCATCCCAAGACGTCATATAACTGACGTTTTGGGACGTCTTTTGACCATACGTCAATATTCGCCTTTTTAGGGCCCCCTTAAACGTCGGTAGATGAGGTTATGGGATCCTAACTCTACCCCAGACCTAAACTTAACCCTAAACCTAACCCGTCACCTAACTGACGTTAAAGGTAAAGCGTCAGTTGTATGACGGCCCGGGATCGCCATCTACCGACGTTTAAGGGGGCCCTAAAAAGGCGGATATTGACGTACGGTCAAAAAACGTCCCAAGACGTCAGTTATATGACTTTTTGGGATGAGACTGTGTTAGCCTGGTAGGCTTGGAGGATCGCCATAGCAGGAGCGATCTTAATATCTTAAATATCTTAATTTGTGTTCCGAAGATGAACGAAGGTCTTACGGGGTTTGGAACAACATGAGGGTGAGTAAATACTGACAGAATTTTCATTTTTGGGTGAACTAACCCTTTAAGTGCAAAGATCCTGTGAAAGCATTTAGGATGGAGGTTTGGTTCACACCAACCAATCTTTCTTAAGAAGAACAGATTTACCAGTAACCAGGCTTTGTGTGCACCTGTGCATCCCACACTCTCAAACTCTTTCCTTTATTGACTCATTCAATGAGTTCACTTACTTTTTTCCCCATCGCATGTCAGTTCATAAATTTATACAACATTCTTCCTCTTTAATGTTTAGCTTGGAAATTATCATGAGTTTAAGTTTGTTTTCAAATATTTGTTTAATGAACTTTCCTTATGACTTTCCTTCACAAGTGTTGCTTTGCATGCGTGTTTATTCTTTTATGTGCTGAACTGACATGCTGCTGAACTAGTTCCTTGCTCTAGTGGCATTTTTGGCAGAATGCCTAAATGCCAGCAGGATAACAGATACTTAACATTTGCATAAACAAGCATTGTGAAACTACTTGTATCGTGACAATATATAGTGAAATATTGTGGCCATTCAATGCATTTGAATTCACCCCCCCCCCCCCTCCCCCTGATTTTGAAACATTTTTCATTTTAAATCTGTTCTATGACTAATCATATCACATCCTTGTTTCTTATAAGCATAAGAATGCAATCATTCCGTTTTTGCCACATGGTAAAGAGTCATTTTTTTTGCCACAGGCAAAAAAGATAAAGATAGCAGTTTCTTGGTAATTTTATGCAAACTACTCTGAACAATGCAAGTCAAGTCAAGTCAAGTCAGGTTTGTTAACATGCCTCATCATTCAAGTGTGATTTTTTTTTATCACATGCACACGAATAGTTTACCCCCAAACTGAAAGTGCTGTCATTACTTAGTGTACTCACCCTAATCTCTTTCATAGAAAACACAAATAGGTTAATGTTCAGGGGCGAATCTAGGATTTCAGAGGGCCGAGGTGGAGCCAGAGGGATGAAGGTGGAGCCAGAGGGACGAGGGACCAATGTTGAGCCAGAGGGAAATGCACCAAGGTGGAGCCAATGGGTCAGAGGACCAAGGTGGAGCCAGAGGGACGAAGGTACAGCCAATCGGTCAGAGGGCTGAGGTCTAGCCAGAGGGACCACGATGGAGCCCGAGGGACGGGGGACCAAGCAGGAGCCAATGGGTCATAGGGCTGAATTGGAGCCAGAGGGATGAGGGACCAAGGTGTAGCCAATGGGTCAGAGGGCCAAGGTGGAGCCAGATGGACGAGGGACCAAGATTGAGCCAGAGGGAAAGGCACCAAGGTGGAGCCAATGGGTCAGAGGGCCAAGGTGGAGCCAGAGGGACGAGGGACCAAGATTGAGCCAGAGGGAAAGGCACCAAGGTTGAGCCAATGGGTCAGAGGGCCAAGGTGGAGCCAGAGGGATGAGTGACCAAGGTTGAGCCAGAGGGAAAGGCACCAAGGGGCCAATGGGTCAGAGAGCCAAGGTGGAGCCAGAGGGACGAGGGACCAAGGTGGAGCCAGAGGGACGAGGGACCAAGTTGGAGCCAGAGGGAAAGGCACCAAGGTGGAGCCAATGGGTCAGAGGGCCAAGGTGGAGCCAGAGGGACGAGGGACCAAGGTTGAGCCAGAGGGAAAGGCACCAAGGTGGAGCCAATGGGTCAGAGGGCCAAGGTGGAGCCAGAGGGATGAGTGACCAAGGTTGAGCCAGAGGGAAAGGCACCAAGGTAAGGCCAATGGGTCAGAGAGCCAAGGTGGAGCCAGAGGGACGAGGGACCAAGGTGGAGCCAGAGGGACGAGGACCAAGTTGGAGCCAGAGGGAAAGGCACCAAGGTGGAGCCAATGGGTCAGAGGGCCAAGGTGGAGCCAGAGGGATGAGTGACCAAGGTTGAGCCAGAGGGAAAGGCACCAAGGTAAGGCCAATGGGTCAGAGAGCCAAGGTGGAGCCAGAGGGACGAGGGACCAAGGTGGAGCCAGAGGGACGAGGGACCAAGTTGGAGCCAGAGGGAAAGGCACCAAGGTGGAGCCAATGGGTCAGAGGGCCAAGGTGGAGCCAGAGGGACGAGGGACCAAGGTTGAGCCAGAGGGAAAGGCACCAAGGTGGAGCCAATGGGTCAGAGGGCCAAGGTGGAGCCAGAGGGACAAGGGACCAGCACAAGCAGCACAAACCAACCTTAACATTGAAGACACCAGAAACCAAACTAAACTGAACAGAGGGTTTTCACAGAGACTGAACAAGATGATTAATTAGACATAGGTGAGAGCACTAATCAATAAAGAGCGGGAACATATATTTGAGTCATAACACATCAGTTATTCACAACTCTGACTGCTTGTGTAAAAACAACAGCTTCAAAGTTTATTTAGACTGGCCTTCCTGTATCTTTTGGGTTGCACAGGCATGACGATATCTTCTAGATAACATCATCAAAATATTTGCTATCAGATAAAACATACAACAGAAGTAAGAGCTGAGTTCATAAATTATTTAGATAAGACATTTCTCTCAAGTTTAAACAGACATTTTCATGTGTCAATATTGGATAATAATGGTTTCAAACGAATAGGATATGCACAAATTCTTCACAGGATCTATCTATCTATCTATCTATCTATCTATCTATCTATCTATCTATCTATCTATCTATCTATCTATCTATCTATCTATCTATCTATCTATCTATCTATCTATCTATCTATCTATCTATCTTTCTATGTATCTACAGTATCTATCTCTCATGTCTATCTCTTCCTCTAAACAGTATTACAGTGTGTTTAGGTGTGGGATTCACATGAGTAAGCAGTCGTACCGAAGACGGCCTGAAGTCAGTTGACACCCGAAGCTGATCACGCGTACAGTGTCACACAGAATCAACACTGACAGGAGCTGAGAGCCTTGTCACACTTCAGTTTTACTTTCCCCACAATGGCTTCATTGAACACCTGGAACATCTCCTTGGACATCAACAACAGCTATTTCAAGTCCAACTTCTCCGAATTAGAGGACACACAACCCACGGGGAAGAACTGGGTATCTCTGGTCATTCTGGCCATCATATTTTTCACTGTTGCTGGGAATATACTGGTGATTATGGCGGTGTCCATCGAAAGCAAGCTTCACAACGCCACCAACTACTTCTTGTGCTCACTGGCCGTAGCAGACATGCTGGTGGGATTCCTGGTTATGCCAGCCTCACTTATCACTATTCTTTACAGTAAGTTCTTCTTTTTTTTTTTTTAAACAACAAATGCACATAAATCGTCTGAAAATGTTTTTAAAGAATGCAAGCAAACCACACCTGAAACCGAAAGGCTGTATGGACGAGTCTCACAAAAACTCTCTGAATACTGTTTTTTTGTTTTTTTTTTACTGTCATGAAAAAAAAAAAAAAAGAAATTTCCTTGAATGGGCTTCATTGTTTTTAAGCCAAATAGATATTGGTAACACTTTACAATAAGGTCCTGTTCATTAGCGTTAATCCATTAACTAACATTAACAATAAGCAATACGTTTGTTACAGTATTTATAAAGGTCAGTCCATAAAATTACAGCTGTTCACTGTGAGTTCAGGTCAATTACTGTAAATAATATTAACAGATACAACTTTTGATTTTATTAATGTATTAAAAAATGTTTTAATTATTACTGTAGATAATTAAATGCTAATTTTGCATGTATTTATCAAATTTGACCAATGATTTCTATATTTATTCTGTTTTTGTGAGGTGAAATAGCCCAGTAATGTAGCCCAAGTCATAACATATAAATTCAGTTGAGACCAAACCAATGTTTTTTTCAGGTATTGTTTTTTTTAGTTTCCTTTTGAGACTACTGAAGAAAAAAAACATTCAAAATTCACATTTTAGAGTTTATTTTATCTGATTTACTTACAGTGATAAAAAGAGAAATCTTATCTGTAAAACTTTAAACCTTCAACTGTAAAATGTCAATGAAATCTGACCTGGCTTTATCCAATTTTTTTTTTAGATTTCTGTTCCACACTCTAAAAATGCTGGGTTGTTTTAACCCAATTTTGGGTCAAATGTGGACGAACCCAAACTTTGGGTTAAAAATTTAATTAAAAACATTAACGAAAAGGCTGGGTTTGTCCATATTTGACCCAAAGTTGGGTTAAAACAGTGTGCAGAAAAGTATGCAAAAGAGTGCATATTTAATTCGATGCATAATTTGCATATGTAAACATTTCAGAAACTTGTAATGCAAAACAAGAGTCTTACTGTGATTAAACATGTATGATACCTTAACATTTTTACTTTATTCACTCACTCTAAAAAATGCTGGGTTGTTTCAACCCAAATTTGGGTCGAATATAGACAAACTCAAATGTTGGGTTAAAAATGCAATTAAAAAAATGTACAGTTGAAAGTAAAAGTTACAGTTGAAAGTAAAAATTGAAGTTGGGTTAAAATCTGAAATACCATTTTTAACCCAACATTTGGGTTTGTCCATATTTTACGCAAATTTGGGTTCAAACAACCCAGCATTGTTTAGAGTGCAATGTCTTGTCTTAACTCTCTGGTGCTCAAAAATGACCAATTTATTTTCAATGAAAGAAATATCCTATATTTTAGTTTGATCATTATTATTATTTATTTATTTAATGCAAAATATTTTAGGGGATTTTATGGTACATAATATTTACCAGTGTAGTTATAATCCATTCATACACTTTTTGAGCATAGTCCTGAAAATACATTTCCAACATAAACAGTGGTATATCTTGAATGCTTTAGAGCAACAGACTTAAGTTTGATCTCTTTTTAAAGACGACATTTAGCAGATAATTGAAAGAGATTATTGTAAAAAGTGAACTTAAAAAAGTTACAGAAATTTACATATTGTTATGAAAAATGCATAAAAGTACAATTTTAAATGTTTACTACAAGAAAATAAATGCCATACATCTAAACATGTTCTGTTCCAAATTTGAGGTTGATATCTCAAAAAATGAGCTTTCAGTAAGATGTTGTTTGGCTGCAGTGCCGAACGCGTCCACTAGAGGAAATTCGTCAACCATTCATTTCCAAGGCACTCATTTTTGACCACGAGGAGCGTGTGACTATTGTTTACAGGACCATTTAACCTTTTCGAATTATTGTCGAATGATTGTTTTGAGTGTTCACACAGCAAGTGTCAAAATTTTCCTACCATTCAGAAAGTTTTTATCAAAAATGACAGAAGAGCACCAGTGCACGCTGAAACATGTGAATGGTTTGTGAAGACACTAGGTTTCTACACGTATCTTCTGAAACGTCCTCCTCCTGTCTTTCTTCAGATCACACCTGGCCTCTGCCGGACCTGCTGTGCCCCATGTGGATCTTCCTCGATGTGCTCTTCTCCACCGCCTCCATCATGCACCTGTGCGCCATATCTCTGGACCGCTACATCGGCATCCGTGACCCACTCAAATACGGCCGCAGCAACTCACTTTGCAAGGCCATGCTCAAAATAATCAGTGTTTGGACCATTTCTATTGGTGAGAATGAAGCATCCAGTGTTACAGAGTTACAAAAGATAGCGTTGTGGTTAATGATGGTTTAAAGGAGTAGTTCACTTTTAAAAAAATCCTTTGCTGATAATTTACTCACCCCCATGTCATCCAAGATGTCCACGTCTTTATTTCTTCAGTCGAAAAGAAATGAAGGTTTTTGATGAAAACATTCCAGGATTTTCTCCATATAATGGACTTCAATGGGAACCAAACGGATCCAAAAGACAGTTTCAGTGCAAACTGTTCAAAGGGCTTTAAACGACACCAGACGATGAATAAGGGTCTTATCAAGCGAAACGATCGCTCATTTAAAAAATAAATAAAAAAGTTTAAGTTTTAAAAGCTCAATTGTTTGCCTTGTTCTGTTCTGTGATGCGCGTTCGCGACTCTCCTGTTCGAACTCGTTCATCAAAACGAATGAATCTTTTTTCGGGTCATTTCGTTCGTTGAATCAACCAAATGACTCGAAAAAAGATTGGTTCATTTTCATGAATCGTTTCGCTAGATAAGACCCTTATTCATAAAACGCACACGTTTTGTCTGTCAAGATAATCTTTACAAGTTTATCAAAAATGTATACATTTTGAAGCCTATATAAAGTTTTTAAAAAACACAAGCAGACACAATAAAGCAGGTTATAACTGTGTGTTCTGTGTCATAGATCAAAACGTGAAAATATTTAGAGGCTTTGTTCATCACAGACATTATTTCAGGCGATTTAGCAAAAACCCATTCAAAAATCCCATAGGCTTTAGAGCGAGGGAACCGGCGGGAGTGCTAAAATGCTAACTCACTTCCGCGTTTGATTATGAGGCTTGACCGAACCAGGAACAAAGCACTATGCACTCAATTGGAACCGTTTCTAAATTAGAAACTTTGCGCGTCGCCGTCGCGTCTGGTTGGGACAAAAACGATTTGCATGGAAAAGATCCTTTTATCGCGTGTCATCCCGCGTGTAGTTTGTTTTGAGTCGTGACAAAAAGTCTTTTAAAACGTCAATGACGTCATACACATCATACGACCAGAGATACTGTTTCACGGCAATCCCTCAGTCACTTTTGTGTGTTCACGCTCGGCACTTTCTGTTCTCTCGAGACAGCCGACACAGGTAAACACACGTGCTAGAAGAGTTAAGTCCACCTTAATATTCTGGACCCGCTTCCGATGCCATCAAGCGGTGTCTCCGGTCGTAACCAGTCCTTCACTGACCAACCAGCGTCCGTTAGGGTCATGGGCAACAACAACTCAACCTGTAAGAAATGGAAAGGACATAAGTACAATCTTAGAAGAAAAGGTTCTATATAGAACTTTAAAAGGTTCTATCAGCGCTACATATTGGGAACCCCTAAAAGGTTCTATACACTGGGGTTCCATACTTGGCCAATAGAACCTTTTACCAAAAAAATGGTTCTATATTCCATATATGAAGCGGGGGATGGAACCATTTCTGGTTCTAAATAGAACCATTTCTTCTAAGAGTGTACTTTCGACCTATAACCCGTGTTGAACTTCTCAACGGCAATCGAGTGAAAGAGACACATTTAGCCGTCTAGCCCCATAGACTCCCATTCATTCTGCACTCGGGTGATCGCCCCCAGTGGAACTCTGGTGGAACTACAACTAAAATTCAGTACAATAGGACTCAATAGGGAGTGGCAGGCTGACCGTAGGTGTTGCCAAATAATGCAGCCGTTGTGTGTTAAAACAAGCTTTCTGAAGTGATCCTTGACTCTTGTTGTTGTTTTCTTCTCTTCTTTCAGTGTTGTCGCTGCCCATTCCAGTGATTGGTTTCCAGGATAAGGAGAAGGTGTTTGTGAACGGCACCTGCGTGTTGAACGAGCCTCTCTTCGTCCTGGTCGGCTCATCCGTGGCCTTCTTCGTCCCTCTGGTCATCATGGTGGTCTGCTATTACCTGACTCTCCGGGATCTCCAGAAACACAGCTCATCTTTCCCGCTGGAGAGCAAGACAACGGACACGAGTCCGCTCAACAGAGGGTCCTCCTCTAGGAAGTTCAAACTTGTGTTCAGACCTCCACGAGGCCAAGATAAAAAAGCCATGATGCAAAATATCAAAAACGAGCAACGAGCCTCCAAAGTCCTGGGGATCGTCTTCTTCCTCTTCCTGGTCATGTGGACTCCGTTCTTCATCACGAACGTGCTGATCGCTCTCTGCCGGGACGACTGCGGCGAGGTTCTCTATAAACTCATTAACTTCTTCGTCTGGGTGGGATACGTGTCCTCGGGAGTCAATCCGCTGATCTACACCCTTTTCAACAAGACGTATCGCCAAGCCTTCGCTCGCTACCTGCAGTGCAGATATCGTGAGGAGAAGAAGGTCCAGTCCAACAGAACCTGCTGACACACGCTCACGACGGATCAGTGATAGACTAGGCGGACCTTTAGTTCGCCATCTCAAATCATCTAATATGAGGCTGTTTGATTGTTTGTTGATCAGTTTCTCTTTCTTGTGGAACAAATGTTTCCAACACAAGTAGGGGATAAACGTGCCTTCGATTTTATTCTCCCCTAAACCATAAAAACTTCCAGCTGCACTTTCATAAACAAACGCTTTTCAAGATGCACACATGGAAATTAATCTGATCCTTAAAATGACTGTGAACCAATAAAGATTGATTCTTGAGGTAATCTGATCGGCTAAAGAATGACTAAAATCGTTGAAAATATCTTAAGACAAATGTCGTCTTAAAGGAGTAGTCCACTTTTGAAAAAACGAGTAAATTTGATCATTTACTCGCCCCCGTGTCATCCAAGATGTCCATGTCTTTCTTTCTTCAGTCGAAAAGAAATTAAGGTTTTTGATGAAAACATTCCAGGACTTTCTCCATATAATGGACTCCAATGGGAACCAAATGGTACAAACTGCAAAATGATTCCAGATGATGAATAAGGGTCTTATCAAGCGAAACGATCGCTCGTTTAATAAATAAATAACAAAGTTTAAGTTTTATAAGCTCAAATGCTCGCCTTGCTCTGTTCTGTGATGCGCGTTCGCGACTCTCCTGTTCAAACACGTTCATCAAAATAAACGAATCTTTTCCCGAGTCATTTGGTTGATTCAATGAACGAGTTCGAACAGGAGAGTCGCGAACGCGCATCACAGAACAGAGCAAGGCGAGCATTTGAGCTTATGAAACTTAAACTTTGTTATTTATTTATTAAATGAGCGATCGTTTCGCTTGATAAGACCCTTATTCATCGTCTGGTGTCGTTTACAGCCCTTTAAACAGTTTGCACTGAAACTGTCTTTTGGACCTTGAACCGTTTGGTCCCCATTGAAGTCCATTATATGGAGAAAATCCTGGAATGTTTTCATCAAAAACCTTAATTTCTTTTCAACTGAGGAAAGAAAAACACGGACATCTTGGATGACACGGGGGTGAGTAAATTATCAGCAAACGTTTTTTTTTTTAAAGTGCTTTAATAATTTTAAAGTCCTTTAATAATTTTCAGTTTTGTTCACATAGAGGTCACTAAAAGCATTTTCTTGAATTTTCATGGGTTTTGATGGCATAATTGCACATCAATCAATCTCTACACTGCAACCAAGTGCATAGTTGTGTGTCGACCCACTCCCCCTTCCAAACCAAGATCAGTCAGAAAGACCAAGTTGCTCTGGAATATTATAATACTGTATATTATATTGCATTAATAAGTTACATCACAGTTCAATTTTCCAAGTTTTGATTTTAGATCACTATTGTGGACCTCATGCTGTATTTCAGCTACGATTCATAGTGTGAATGCTGTTTTTGGATATACTTAATCTGCATTAACTGTTTTTGACTGTAAATAAATGTATTTGTATTATTAGAATGTAATTTTCATTGACATCAGAAAAACACAGTAATGTGATTACATAATGAATGTGATCTGTAATGTGTTTGAGATTTATATTTTTGTATATATCTTATAGTTTTCACATGATTTGATATAATTGTTTTAATTAGTTTTTTAATGCACACACTATATCTGTTTGATTGTTGTATTATGTTTAATACAGTATCTCTTCAGTTTAAACCAAGTGGACATCTAAAAATCTCTTGAAAAATGTGTAATAAATAAATCAAATGTTGTTTTTCATGCCCTATAAGAGCAATAACACATCCTGACTGAGGTTAACATAATCCATGCATGAAAGGGTTAAAGCAAAACTTTTCCAATAACGGACGAATATGGTATTATAGACAACAATTAACATGATAATAAACTGCTGGCTGACTTTTCCATTTGTTGACATGACATGGTTATGCAGATGGGAAATAAATATCAAACAAAAGAGATACTCGCCGTATTTTAAAAATTAATATTAATCATATCATATACTGGTAATAAAATATTATTTGTTGTTATAAAGTAAATTAGTTTGTCATATTAATATATTGAATTATTATGGGTTCTCATTCAGTGCTTTCAGAATCTTTAATTCTTTGAAATTATTTCAAATAGTTTCTTTTTTATGACAGTATAGCCTATTTATTGAACAAACATTATTTTATTTAACAAAATAAACAGACAATAGTACAAAGTTTGCTAAAGAGATTGTTTAGTATTACCTTACACATTATTAAAAACACATTATTTTAGCTAAAGTATTTGTTTTTGTGTCTTTTGCCCGGTGTGTCTGCTGTCAAATGCAATGCACACGCTAGTTGATATTATTTATTTATTTTAATTTTTTTCAGAATTATACATTAAATAATACAGTAACGTTTCACATGTGATGTTGGTTGATGTCAAGCATGTTTGTGTCAGGCTTCGCTTCAGCAAAAGATTTACTGTATAGTGGGAGAGCGCCACCAAGTGGTGACATTCATTTAATTTCTCAATGGTTTATGGGTTAGATACTACAATTATGATGCTTGTTATAACATATTTTGAAACATTACATTTCAGGTGATGGCCGGATACATTTCAGTTTTTCGCCTTCTTGATTGGAGCAGTTTGCATTTGAATTAAATTATAAAAACAAAGATTCTGCAATTAATGTATTTGTGCACATATTTCTTAGTTTGTAGGCATTGTTTAATTGTGTTATTTTTGTTGTTTTAGTCAGTAACCCTAACCCAGAGTGGGAAATGAATTAAATGAAATAGGTCAAGTATGGTCACACAAGGAGACAGAAGAAATTTTTATATAAATCTCTCTCTCTCTCTCTCTCTCTCTCTCTCTCTCTCTCTATTAACATTGCTAGATGTCTTGTAGTGTCAGGTTGTAATTTATTCAGGAAACATGGGTTGAAACCTATTCAAGGCTACAATAGTTCTCACGGTTTTTCCCACGCTGGCCACAAGAGGATCCTCGCTGTCCCAAACCATACAAACAGTGGAGGAAGACTTTGAGAGGAAGACGTTGTTGAATTGGAGTAATTAGCATAAAATAAAGAGCAATTCCTAAACACTGAGTTAAATACACCGCGGTATGCGTATTACCGCGTCCAGGTACAAGTCGAGGCTTTTCCTTTGTTCAATGTCACAGTTCATGGGTTGAAGCCGGTTAAAGCTCTTAATTTTGAGCTCTCAAAGTGCACCAGATTGATGCATTTAACCTTAAAATGTACAAAATTTTCTTGCGGGGGACGGGGACCATGCCCCCGAACCCCCCTAGAGGGACAGATGTCTCAACATAGTTTTACAAAATCATATGGGAAAGAACAATAATTTATGAACTTTACTCCGAAAAAAAAAAAAAATGTGTTTAGTAAAATAGTTAGCCTATGCCGAATTAAAATTGGACAAACTATAAATTTGGTCTACAAGACATTGTGACGACATTTTGTTCTAGAATTATAGTTTTTATCAAGCTTGTATATTATGATATATACACACACACAGAGAGACAAACAGGCACACTGCTTGTGCTATTGCCATCAATGAATGAATCAATAGAGGGAACAGGTTAACACATGCATACATATGCATCTATTGATTAATAATTTATGTTTATTCATTGATGGTAATATCACGAGCAAATAAATATTTTTTTCCTTGCCAAATATCAACTTTTGTCATTGTTTATAGGTTTGTGTGTATGTGTGTGTGTGTGTTCTGAAGTAAAATTTATTAGGTAAATAAATGCTACTTACGTTATTTGAGAAACTCCGCAAAAGCTCTCAATGAAGGCGTGATCTACGAGCAGCTGAAAAAACGCCGATGAAAACAGAAAGCAAAACAGCGCGTAGGTGCACTCAGTGGAATGGACTCTTTAAATTTCCGCGCTGTTATGACAGCGCATGTCACGTGACATTTCCAACATGGCGCATGTAGTACGTCCGGAATTCATTCATACTACCCGTATTCATACTATATAGAACGTACTTTTTTTAACGGTCGCGAAGTACGTTCTTATTTAAATGTAGTACCTACTCACATAGCACGCGATTTCGGACGCAACCCTAGTCCGACTGCCATAGGTATCAAGTTACGCCGCCCTCATCCAAAGGCAGGGCAGGGATATGCAACTCAGTTGCATTTAAGGTCGTATACACCAAAACGGCTCATTTTAAAACAGGCCCCAAAAATGACTTTTTGAAATAGTTATAATAAATTAACTGTGGGGTATTTTGAGCTGAAAATTCACAAATACATTCTGGGGACACCAGAGACCAATATTACATCTTGTAAAAAGGGGCATAATAGGTGCCCTTTAAATCAAACAAAAGGAGCGTGTGTAAACGCAGTGAGCCACGCATCTCACGCCATGCACTGGAGCATAGAAGCATCATCATGCCCATTCAAACAGCACCGGTCTGATATTTCTGTGGTATTCCGCCATATATTATAGTTATCCACTTAACATGCTTAGAAAAGCGCAATGTTTTATTTGGTTTATATTAAGAAAGAACGGTGGAGTATCCCTTTAAGGGTGTAGAAAGCTTAAGGTGAACTACATTCAAGCCATGAAGATCCTGAACACCACACAACATCTCTGCTAGATCATCGCATCAATAGCAGAAATCGACTAAAGGCATTATTAAATCTGGACACCAAATTAATATGGGTTTCTAACTGGTTGAAGTGCAGTAGTGTGTGAACAGGAATTGTGATTATTGTGTGTGTGTGTTAGTCTCTGCCAGACGATGGCACCATAAAGCAGCGAATCTGAGGCTGGAAACGGCCTACAAACAGCTTTAATTCAACAGTGCCGGGTTTATGACCTCTCATATGCCTATAAAGCATGGCCAAAATGATGGAAATAAAATGTCATCATAAAATTCAGATGTACAGTCAAAACAAAAATTATTCAGACACTGTGTAATTTATATTGTTTTACTATTGTGTGCACACTAGAGTTCATTTCTGTGAGTGAGGAGAGCAAAATAAAGTAAACTGTGACATATTATACCCAAATATTCTTCATACAGTGACTAGAATGAGACATGATCTATCATGTTTTGCTGAAGTGTGTTTTCTTTACTCTTTTTACACACACTGAACAACATGAAGCATTGCTTGGTCACTGGTTGAGCTAAACTGGTATTATCTTGTGGAGTTAAATTTAACAGATATTCAACATAATTCATGTGTGTGAGTCCAACAGAAGGACGGACAAAACCAGTCAAATATCCACTGAGTTCTGCTCATATTATTACCAAACTGATAATTTGAGAAATGTTGAAGGTGTCTGAATACATTTGGTTTGACTGTACATTTGATGATCTTTTGAATTAAATTGAGTGTTTACGAATTATTTGCAGTGTTTTGGGTGAAGATTCTTACCATGCAGATCCAATCAATATTGGACCCCATTGATTT